TGATAATCATTGATAATCGATACAAATAAAATAGCTTCTAATATTACCAATAAACATAACTAAAGAGAATTTATTAAAACTAAACATTAAAAAGAAGAAAATAGAAAGTCAAGGTTTGATAATAATATCCAAATTATATTGAAATAAATCTTATATTAAATAAGACTCTAGTGCATTTATGCAATTTCATTTGAAAATTCAGAAACTTATCATTAATTAATGAAAATATATAAAAATAAATAATAGTAAATTTAATTATTTTAACAATTCATTTTTATCTTTTAAAAGAAAGAATATGAAAAGCTTGACTATACGTAATATTAATGAAGTTTTATTAATATAAATTTTATATTAATAATGTTAATATTGTGAGAGTCTAAGTTGTCCAATTAAAAATTTAACATCAATCTAGTCTGATTAAAATGAGTTCTAAATTAAATAAGGTTAGTATTGTCTTTATATATTATGTTTAGGGTTAAAGTAGTCGATCACAAATTTTTCTAAATAATATACTTTTATTAGTAGTATATATAGATATAGATATGTATATTATATATATGGCTTCGGGCGGGTTTCGGGAATGTGGGCGGGTATTGGGCTGGACTTCGGTTTTCGGGCCTGGTAGTTGGTATAGGGTTAAGCCCAAGCCCTTTCGTAAAAGATATTGGGCATGGGCTCAAGCTCGAGCGGCCAACTATCGGACTTCGGGGCTTTTTTCGGGCCGGATAACAGATCCCGTGGGTAACCCGGCCATGGACACCCCTACAAAGGTATTTCACATAACTGTATAACCATGAACTAAAAACAAGCAATAAAACAGAAAAAAACTCCTTACAAATATGAAGGTGTGATACAAAGCTATTCAACCGCAGCGAAAACCCCTTCTATGAAAGCTTCAATCGACCAGACCCTAGAAAAAGTATACCGACATCGAATTAGACAACACATACACATACAAGGCTCAAATCAAACGATTTCAAAAGGATTATAGAAACGTACAAGGTATATGTAATTTACCAACGCAAGAATGATATCAACACGGATCGAAAAAACTCCTAAATCCGGAACTCTCGGCCAAAATCAAACAAATGAGAGAGGGGGGGTTAAAAATAGAGAGAGAGAGAGAGATACAGTGGGAGATCGCTGCTATAAATTTGTGTGGGAGGGAAAGTCCTACACGTAAAGGGAATGTGTGGAGCAAATTAATGGGAGGAAAGAAAAGGGGGGTGCGGCATTATATAGGGCTAGGGCCAAGCCGAGAGGAGAGGACACACCGCCAATGACGCACAGTTCGCCACGTGCCTTGACGTGGTGTGAATGCTTCCTTGATTCTCCATTCATGTCCACTAATTTATGTACTACTAGCGGCGGCATGTATCGTATCGAATTTACGGGAATGGTTCATCGAATTTGCTTATATTAAATATAAATCACTAATTTAATTTGTTTAAAAATATAATTTTATCACCATATTTTTATTATTATTTTATAATTTTTAAATCGTACGATGGTAATAAAAAAATATGTAATTAATTGTTAATTAGTGGGGTAGAGATAATTACACGAAACATACAATAGAATGTAATTGGTTAAAATCATAATTTTAAAAAAAAATAAAAAACAATGCTATTAAGAACTAACAATTTCACTTATTATCTTGATATATTGGTGGGACGAGTGATACATTACCACTAAAAACTAACGATTGCAATTATAACAATATTGTTAGATTATATTTAACTATCGTGTCCTTAGGATAACATTTTAGATCAATTTTGTAGGTCTCAATTTTATTATTAATTTCAAAAAATGAGTTTAAATCATGTTTTTATATAGGTAATAATAATAATTTAAAATTAAAATAATAATAATTAATTAGTATTATTAAAGATTGTAAGGGAATATTTTATTTTATTTTATTGTTTTTCTTGGATGGGTTATTATAAAGGAATATATTCTCAGAAAAAGAGTGGGTTCATGAGCTGGATCCTCGTCGTCTTCTTGCTCTTTCCTACTCATTTCCACGCACGCTCGTCTTAAATTATTTTTCTGGATTCTGGATTTTGGGCCCACCTTAAAGATTGACCCCTTCAACTCGCATAATGACTGAAACACCCTTCATTTAAGGGAAAAACTACGGTACCTATAATAATACCGTATCAAAAATTATAATTTTTTTTATCAACAATGTTATTGAAATTTAATTTGCTGATCTAATTTATTGACTTAATTCACTATAACCTTTGGATTAACTGTGAGACCTATTAAACATTAAAATTTGNTAAGGGAAAAACTACGGTACCTATAATAATACCGTATCAAAAATTATAATTTTTTTTTATCAACAATGCTATTGAAATTTAATTTATTGATCTAATTTATTGACTATAACCTTTGGATTAACTGTGAGACCCATTAAACATTAAAATTTANTTAATTTGCTGATCTAATTTATTGACTTAATTCACTATAACCTTTGGATTAACTGTGAGACCTATTAAACATTAAAATTTGGTATTAATCCAATAATTTCAATAAAACCATATCATTAAATCAAATTTTTAGATTCAAATGACATTAGTCATTTTTTAAACATCAAGTTATAAATTGTAAATGAATTATAAATCTTAGACCACCACGATCGATTATGAAAGTTTTAACTTTTAAAAATTAAATTATAATTTTTAAAAGTTAAGATATAACTCATAAAAGAAAAATTACAACTAATCGAGAGAGTCTCGTGATTTGCCATGAGTCATAGACTTCTCTTAACTAGTTATAACTTTATCCTTCAAAAGTATAATTTTACCATTAAAAACTACTCTAATTTTTGATAAGATGTCATTGTTTGTTTTGGGATACCTATTTCCCTCATTTAATTGTAACAAGATCCTCAAGGCCTGCCTTAAATGCACCAGTAATCATGCCAAACTGTTGCAATTATTTTTATTCATTATATCCTCTAAATGTTTTGAAAATTGGAATTAAATTAATTTTATATACAAAAAAATTATATATTTTTATTAAATTATATCTTAATTTCACGTCAATTTTATTGTATATTTATATAGATATTATTTCAAATTAATCATCGAAAACAACAAAATATAATATATGGTATTTGAAGAAAATTTTNTAAATTATATCTTAATTTCACGTCAATTTTATTGTATATTTATATAGATATTATTTCAAATTAATCATCAAAAACAACAAAATATAATATATGATATTTGAAGAAAATTTCGATTTAAATAATCAACTACAATTACCTATTCATATCCAATTAATCATACATGTACCTAAATCCGTTTCAAATCAAAATTCAAAATTCAATCCTTTTGACAGTCTAATCCCACATTGTCAAACTTGAAGTTTCATCAGCACCCCATTTCAATTGGCAACCGGCACTACNTACCTATTCATATCCAATTAATCATACATGTACCTAAATCCGTTTCAAATCAAAATTCAAAATTCAATCCTTTTTACAGTCTAATCCCACATTGTCAAACTTGAAGTTTCATCAGCACCCCATTTCAATTGGCAACCAGCACTATNATTCATATCCAATTAATCATACATGTACCTAAATCCGTTTCAAATCAAAATTCAAAATTCAATCCTTTTGACAGTCTAATCCCACATTGTCAAACTTGAAGTTTCATCAGCACCCCATTTCAATTGGCAACCGGCACTACAATATGATGAAAGGACGCACTTTGTAGCAGTGGTAACGTTATTTTCATTATCATTTGGACATCAATGAGTTTAAATTGCAAAACAACAATGATTTCATCATCAACCCATTTTAACTGTCACTTGTTTTTGCAATTAGATCTATAATAGGATGAGAGAATGGTCCTATAACAGGAATAATGTGACTTCATTAACATTCGAGCATCAAAAAACAACATAAGGCAACTCCATAAAGGCCAAGCCATGAGCGAGTTATTCCTCAAGAATACTCTAATTCCAATATGAATAATCTGTCTATAATCAGACCAAAAAAAAGATTAATCGAGGTATATATAAATTGACCTGAACACTCTTGTTGAACTCAAAAAAAAAAAATATATATATATATNATAATGTGACTTCATTAACATTCGAGCATCAAAAAACAACATAAGGCAACTCCATAAGGGTCAAGCCATGAGCGAGTTATTCCTCAAGAATACTCTAATTCCAATGTGAATAATCTGTCTATAACCAGACCAAAAAAAAGATTAATCAAGGTGTATATAATTGACCTGAACACTCTTGTTGAACCCAAAATATATATATATAAAGATAAAACTGTATATATATAACATTTTCTAGATCTCGAAAGTTCTAAAACCTAAGCCAATTTCTTTATTATAATATGATACTGACCGTGTACCTTTTAATTATTCATCACTCAGAAATCTTGGAGGATAAGGATTGACATATCAATTAGATGCTGATCTTTCTGAGCTGGTCACCGTAACTGAATCCACACGTTTATGATACCTGCAAGTCTGTTATTAAAGGAAGAAACGCTAAGACAAATTCTAGTGATATGATTCTTCCACATATGGTTTAAAAGGAAAGGTCTTTCTGACTTCGTTTAGACACCCTTTGTTGCTATGTTCATTGTAGTCCATCCAAATGATTCCATTTTATCACAAGATGAGTAGATGCCAGCACCACATCTTTCTCTACTAAAAGACTCGATCACAAAAAACACAGAGATAGATCTATACGTACATGTATAACTTAAAATATAATAATAGAGTTAAATCACAAGAAAGGTGGAACCAATCATCAATTCCACCCAGCAACTATTGAACAATATCCATCGAAGTGCAAGTTCTCTTGCAACAAAAATATGTATGGTTGGTAAGACATACCTCAATTGCTTGGATGAACCATGTTCAGGTCTCTGGTGTGAGTTTGATTCTCCACTAAAGCACAAGTCCTGATTTAATTGGTGTGTGAGTTGAAGAATTAGTTTATGCACATGGAATTTGCCCTCAATTCTATTCGGACTCACAAGTCTAAGCGACATAAGCGTGTATTTACTCATCAAGGACAGGCTAGATTTATTCCGTTACCCCCAAAAAAAACTATTGAACAATGCCATAGTGTTGTGTTACAAAAAAATATAGGCAAGATAATGAAATTGTAAATGTTTGGCATACACCGCCAAAGAATGACTTGTGACAACTCGAGAATAAAAGAATCAGCATCAGTGTATTCACAAGTTGGCTTAGCTTCTGTCACAAGTGAGGAACTTTTGATGCACTCAAGGTGGCTGCTGCTTCTGCTTCACACGGATTCGGCAAGCTTCCCATTTTTTTCTGGTATTCCTGCTTCAGCTCCTCTAAACGCTTGGATACCTAATAATTAACCAAAACAAACGCAAATGTGATGAAAAATAACCACAACAAACTAATCATAAGCATAGCATAAGGAACTTATGCATAACAACAAAGTTCCTCTGTTCATTTCTCAAAATTCCAATTGTACGGTGTAAGGCAACACACCTGAACGCCTATCCAATACCCATCTCACACTTAGGCATATATAGTTCGGTTATAAGAGGTGTCAATATGACAAGACAGAAAAACACATNCACCTGAACGCCTATCCAATACCCATCTCACACTTAGGCATATATAGTTCGGTTATATGAGGTGTCAATATGACAAGACAGAAAAACACATATATTTCCTTTTTCATTTAATCAATAGTCAGAAATGACTGACTAACACCCCTTGTTAGCTCCAATAACCACTATGCATGTTCGATGCCCCCAAAGGAAACATAAACAAATATTGTGGGTAACAGATCATGGCTGAAAAAATGTTGTGCAGCAAGCCCAGATAGTCGAAAACGAAGAGAAACGATCATAAAGCAGAGGTGAGAACCGAAGAAAGCCAAATAGACAGATATTTGTGTCTCGCTTCTGTAAACATAAATCAGGTTCATATGACTCTTCCTTGTGTGCAATATATGATTATCTACGATATTTTCAAATGGGGAACAACAAAATAAAATGGTCAGTTTGATGGCCTGCGGACTTCAAATCAAAGTCATCTCAACCAAATTATATATTTTTTGCAGATTATTATAAAAGATGTTGCACGTAATTTTTCANATATTTTCAAATGGGGAACAACAAAATAAAATGGTCAGTTTGATGGCCTGCGGACTTTAAATCAAAGTCATCTCAACCAAATTATATATTTTTTGCAGATTATTATAAAAGATGTTGCACGTAATTTTTCAACCGTCAAAATAATCTCATCAAATAATATTAGGCTATATTCTACCTAAATCGAATATAATCAGGAAAGTGGGAGAAAATGATGTAAATCTCAATTATAAGAAAGCCATTGTATAATAAGCATTTAGGAATTCGTAATATTCTTGCAACATGAATGCATATACACATATCCATCCACACACACACACACACACACAAAGAGAGAGAACCTTGATTGAATAGGCCATCGGTAACAGTATATCTGGGTTCATTGCTTCCTCAGGGAAGTTACGCAAAGCATGCATGAGTCTCTCGAAAGATAATTTTATCTGATTAATAATATAAATGGTTTCCATAAGCAGAATATCTACAAGTTCTATGGATCTAATGTGGATGTGAGATAATAGAAAGCTTACCAATTCATCATGGGAATATTTCAATAAGGCCAAACCAACCCTAAAAACAACTTTAACACCCTTGGCCAACGAAATTGTCAAGTGCAAGCCAAATATTGGTGCTTCCTCTAAAAATAAATAAAACATAAACTACTACAAATCACTGACCTCATGGAGAAAGACATCCCAAATTCGAAGAGCCAAGTGGAATGGGAAAGAGTACGAAAAAACAGTTATAAACCATTGGCTTGCATACATGCTTGGATTTATCGTTTCCTGAGTGAAGTGCTCACCCAACTTCGGCATTTGCCCCTTCACTAAATGGTCAAACTGGAATAGGTATTGCTGTACAAGAGGCAACCCTACCTACCCCACAAGCACAAAGAACATTTGAAATGTGCTTCACAAGCTGACAAATAGTAAATAAGGGGCTTTGAAATTATAATCAGCATCTGACCAAAAAAAGTTGATAATCAGCTAAAGGAAGCTAAAAAAAATGATAATCAGCTAAAAGAAGCTAAAAAAAATGATGTCAACAACTTCATTCGTTAATAAAATTGTGAATCAGACTACAAACCATTAGGCTACAACAATCTATGTATGTTTCAGGCAGATGAAGGAAGCTAAGAATTCTAAAAAATCAGCATCTTATCCTCACTACTAACCAAGAACACAAATAGAAAAAACTCCAATATCAAATTTTTGGATTAAGAGATCTCTTGCTTACGAAAATTTAGAGACTAACAGAACAAGAACTTAAACTATATTTCCCAGCCTTAGTTATTATCCAATTTTGCATTACTAACACATATCCAAAGCTGAAAACATATGATTAGAATTTAGAACATTCATTCTAAAGATGCATCATCAATTTGACACATTGCCCACGGGTAATAAGACCGCTCTAACTTGCAATAGGCTAGTTCAAGCCTTTCAAACCTTGTTGCCCCCTTCCGGAATATAAAACCACAACTGATATCTTTACATTCATATTTTTTTAGCAAATATTTTGATAAGCAAACATAAATAAATAGATGAATGATTTGTAATGCTATATTAGTAAGAGTTTGAAGCTTTAAAATTAGCAGGACACTGTGCACAACACAAGTAGACGCCAACAGGCACATATATGTACGAAAAGTATAACATTGAATCCTTCATGACGAAACCCTCTCATCAGTATAAAAGCATTCCCTAGGTGCATAGGTCCACACAAATCCAAATGACAATTACAAAGATTCTTCCATCAGCAGTTTTGTTTCTCAATAAAAGCAGAAAAAAAATGGGCAAATATCGACCAATAGTGACCACGCAAGAAATGTCAACATTCCTGTTCAGATATTCTTAGTTAGTACAATGACATAGCAGTACTGAAAGAACTAAACAAAAATGGCATACGGTCCCTAACGGACTAGCCTTCACCAAGCATATCTCAGTAGCTAACTACTACTGGACCACCAAAATATAGCTACAAAATCCTTTAGCAGCTCTTTAAGTTTGGCTCAGCCAAATCCACTTCTTAAAAATTTCACTGCTTCCTATATAAAACTCCCCATCCAAGAGCAGTGGGCATGACAATATGAATTGAAGCTCAAATCAAAAATTAAAAACCACAACACCATGCTTTCTTTTATATCTAATAATGGAGGAAGGAACAATGGCGCCTCTCCCAACATTTCAATAAAGAACAATCCCAATTACTTGAGACCGGCTGCATCATGATGTTTATTGCGGATATGAAGGGCACAGCTTTGCTCTACTGAACAGCTTCCAAAAATCCAGGAAAAATCTCACACTACAAAATATAAGTCCAAAGACTTATACTTACTCTGTAGACCATGAAATAGAAGAGTAGTAATGTCATTCATCCTCTTAAAGCTGATAAGCTAAGACAACAGTATCCTAAGAGTAGTATCAATATGCTTGTGGTTTATAAGAATACCAAATTTAATCCTTCCATTGGGGCATGGACAGCTCCTTTCAGTAGAGCAACGAGTAACCAAAATGCATCTTTTTCACTCATATAAAGAAGCAACAAACCTGCTAGAAATCCCATTCCCTGCAGTCAGAAAGAATACAATATCATGCAGTGTCCTACAAAGGTATGCAAATGATTGATGGCTATCAATGATATAAACCTGTACATATCCAACATCTCTATTGTACACAGAGTACACCTTCAGGACATTGTAAAGAGACCTCTGACCAGATCCATGTCTCTCTGCTGGAAGAAAACATGCGAAGGGAAAGTACGAGAAATATCCCGAATTATATCCAGTTCAGAAGCTGCCGTCTCATATATGAGTAGTTGCTGCAGCAGATCAGCATTCCATTAATACAACCCAACAATAGTACCACAAAGCAAAGGGAAAGCATCATATGAAAAACCAAAACATAATGATAACCTATTACAATAGACCATGGAAGATTATCACATTTAATTTTGGGCATGCATCCGATCCCTCAGGGAAAAGAGGACTCTTCTAAGATTTCACACAAACCAAAACAACCAAGCCTTGCCCCAATTATGTGGGTTCGACTACATGAATTCTTTTCCACCATTTTTAAATTCCACACTAAAACTTGGAATAAACAGGCAAAGATAACAGAGATAATTATCAACATGAATCCTTTTCCGCCATTCCTAGATTTCACAAAAAACCTTGGAATAAACAGACAAAGACAACATATATAATGACCAACAAAATGAAGTCTCCCAATAATCTTATAATACCCTCAACAGGACTCACACCAAGTCACTCATGCATGACAGCCATAAAAATTTGGCTCCAGTCTCACTTGGAAAGGGAACTGAAAAACAGAAATGAACAAGGCAAAGAAAATAGAGCAAATTCAAACTGATGTTGTAGGGATGGCCGCACAGTATAGCATTAAGCATTTGTAATCCTTCAAACCTAAAAAACTAAGTGCGAAGTATTGCTATGGGCAAGATGGATGGTGACTTTACCTCAACGCGCTTTAACATATTCAGCTTCAAAATATCACAAACAACAATTTCTCACAATACTTAAAGTAGCTAAAACTGAGTTCCAAAAAAAAATAGTTAAAGTTGCAGAGACATATTACACTGTTTAATAAACTGCAGATAGAGCTTGGTGAAGCCTTCTATATTCTTCTCCATAAATGTGATTTTAGTATATGAAAGGTAAATTTCATTCACAGTGGAACTTAACTAATGTCTCTATCAAGTAATTGCTTTCTGTTTTGACACAAAACTCACTAATTAGAGGTGTCTGTACCACGATTTCTTCAGACATCATCACTTGGATGGTTCATATTTATTAGAGCTTTATGTCTTGAGATGGATATGATGGAGAAACATTATGTCTTCCCCTGGATTTGTGTAAAGGGAGATTCAGCTATGGCAAGATCTTACAAAGTAAAATACCAATACCGATTCTTGAAGATAATCTCACTTTATCAAGAACAGGAAGGCCATTTGTTCTGGGTGAGTTGAATATTTTAATTGGCTGCTTTCTTTCTTTTTTTTTTTTTCGACTTCAGACAGATTTAAGAATGAGCAAGGAAGTTGACTCCCTGGCCAGAAGTCTCCACTTTCATTTAGACCTTTCTTTACTTGTATCTACAAAAAATCCTTCTCTTTTTCAATAGAACTGAGTCCCTGTGAGACAGCCAAAAAGAAGGAAGTATCCAATGCCAAAAAGGGCTTCATTGTAAAAATTGAAAATAAAGACCACAAACTAAAATGGTTGTCGGGTTTTTTGGCCAGGTGGCACCAACTATTGCAAGGAACATATTTAAACTCCATCCAAACTAAATGAATTGAAAAAAGTAAAGGAGAAGAAGGTCAAGTCAAGGTAATGCAGTTACTTCCAAAGCTATAGGAGGACCAAGATAATTGAAACATCATGGCACATGTGTACAATAGACATGGAATGAGAAAAAGGATTACCTCATAAACATCAGGATTCATCAGCAAGAGGTTTCGACTTCCAGAAATTAACTGCCAAACAAGACCCCTCAGACAATCCGGAATTCCTTTTCTTATCCTCCATTTAACAACATGAGGTTTCCTCCGAACATAGTGCTTCCAGTCACTCCCTCGAACCCCAATCATTTTCCTCCATTTTCTAACCCTTCTTTCCTCCCTGAAAATTATCTTATTGATTATATTAGAAAGAAAACAAAATAAACAGTAAATACACAACCGTAACTACTATGTATCTGAATATAACCAACAATTCACTTTCCAAAGTAAAATCACCTTAAGCCCAGGTACTTGTTTGGGTTTTGCATATATATGGAAACCTATTATGTTTGTCAGAAGACTAACTGCAGCAGCAAGTCTATTGAATGCCAAAAGATTGATGTAATGAAGAATGATTTTGTCTTTAGAAGGGAAATGAGCTTTTGCTTTAGCCAGGGTTCACACATTCAAACAAGATCATCCAATTCGCAGATTGAACATTAAGAAAGATATTTAATCCAATATTCTCAGTCTGTATGGTCTACTATATCCATATAAAATAAAAAAGAAAATAAAGTAAAACCAAAGGGCCTTAAATTGCATGGAAATATCAATCAATTAGTTTGTCATCCACATTATAATCGTTTAACAATTGGCTCCCAGTCTCGTGACCTGAAACCTGAGAGAAAGATGACATCTAGATATTAGATCTCTAAAAAAAGGGGCAGAGCTCATGGAGACATATGGTGCNTGTAAAGGGAGATTCAGCTATGGCAAGATCTTACAAAGTAAAATACCAATACCGATTCTTGAAGATAATCTCACTTTATCAAGAACAGGAAGGCCATTTGTTCTGGGTGAGTTGAATATTTTAATTGGCTGCTTTCTTTCTTTTTTTTTTTTTCGACTTCAGACAGATTTAAGAATGAGCAAGGAAGTTGACTCCCTGGCCAGAAGTCTCCACTTTCATTTAGACCTTTCTTTACTTGTATCTACAAAAAATCCTTCTCTTTTTCAATAGAACTGAGTCCCTGTGAGACAGCCAAAAAGAAGGAAGTATCCAATGCCAAAAAGGGCTTCATTGTAAAAATTGAAAATAAAGACCACAAACTAAAATGGTTGTCGGGTTTTTTGGCCAGGTGGCACCAACTATTGCAAGGAACATATTTAAACTCCATCCAAACTAAATGAATTGAAAAAAGTAAAGGAGAAGAAGGTCAAGTCAAGGTAATGCAGTTACTTCCAAAGCTATAGGAGGACCAAGATAATTGAAACATCATGGCACATGTGTACAATAGACATGGAATGAGAAAAAGGATTACCTCATAAACACCAGGATTCATCAGCAAGAGGTTTCGACTTCCAGAAATTAACTGCCAAACAAGACCCCTCAGACAATCCGGAATTCCTTTTCTTATCCTCCATTTAACAACATGAGGTTTCCTCCGAACATAGTGCTTCCAGTCACTCCCTCGAACCCCAATCATTTTCCTCCATTTTCTAACCCTTCTTTCCTCCCTGAAAATTATCTTATTGATTATATTAGAAAGAAAACAAAATAAACAGTAAATACACAACCGTAACTACTATGTATCTGAATATAACCAACAATTCACTTTCCAAAGTAAAATCACCTTAAGCCCAGGTACTTGTTTGGGTTTTGCATATATATGGAAACCTATTATGTTTGTCAGAAGACTAACTGCAGCAGCAAGTCTATTGAATGCCAAAAGATTGATGTAATGAAGAATGATTTTGTCTTTAGAAGGGAAATGAGCTTTTGCTTTAGCCAGGGTTCACACATTCAAACAAGATCATCCAATTCGCAGATTGAACATTAAGAAAGATATTTAATCCAATATTCTCAGTCTGTATGGTCTACTATATCCATATAAAATAAAAAAGAAAATAAAGTAAAACCAAAGGGCCTTAAATTGCATGGAAATATCAATCAATTAGTTTGTCATCCACATTATAATCGTTTAACAATTGGCTCCCAGTCTCGTGACCTGAAACCTGAGAGAAAGATGACATCTAGATATTAGATCTCTAAAAAAAGGGGCAGAGCTCATGGAGACATATGGTGCTTTGTTTGCATAATGAAAACCACTGATATCCAAAACATCATAACCAACCAACCAGTCAGAACTATATAAGGCTCACATAAACTTACAGGTTTATCAATAAAAATATAGTAAGTGCAGACTTTATAGTACATCGTTAGAGAACAGAAAAATGATTGAGCATTTGAAATGAGTACCTCTCATACTCAAAAGCTGACCTACGCTTGGCTAAACCTTCAGGAGAGTCAAGTTCCTGCTTTACAAACCCAAATCTGTCAACTCTTAAAGGCGGAACTGGTTCTGTTTCACATTCGTTCATTCTTTTCTTTTCTATTCCACTACCTCGTACAAGCTCCAGCACCCCAAAAGCCCAAAACCACGGGACAGCCACAACATTGTTGCCCACTGGCCAATTTCAAAATGAGGAAAAACTTAATATCTGGAATAGCATAAATGTCGTTCATTCAGCAATCAGAACAAACAGGTAATAAGTAATTAACACNCCAGTCAGAACTATATAAGGCTCACATAAACTTACAGGTTTATCAATAAAAATATAGTAAGTGCAGACTTTATAGTACATCGTTAGAGAACAGAAAAATGATTGAGCATTTGAAATGAGTACCTCTCATACTCAAAAGCTGACCTACGCTTGGCTAAACCTTCAGGAGAGTCAAGTTCCTGCTTTACAAACCCAAATCTGTCAACTCTTAAAGGCGGAACTGGTTCTGTTTCACATTCGTTCATTCTTTTCTTTTCTATTCCACTACCTCGTACAAGCTCCAGCACCCCAAAAGCCCAAAACCACGGGACAGCCACAACATTGTTGCCCACTGGCCAATTTCAAAATGAGGAAAAGCTTAATATCTGGAATAGCATAAATGTCGTTCATTCAGCAATCAGAACAAACAGGTAATAAGTAATTAACAAACTGACATAATTTTGAAAAGGCCAAGATAAGTTAAAACAAAATATGCACTAACTAATGAAGTTAGCGAATTATCCTCAGCATAGTACTTTACAATTGTGGCAAACACAACAATGACAGCTCTTTTGAAAAACAATGAAATTTTGCAGCTGTTTGGGATCGTAACAACAAAAGGATTGAAATGGATGACAGCCATGAAGGTACAATCTAATCATCTAAAACCAAAATACGGAGAAAACTACAATATCCTTGACAATTGAGTGATATTCACTACCAAACAATGCATAAACTATATTGTAAATGAGTCAAATAGTCAATACGGAGATTGTAATGGAGTTTAAATTTATCTCGTTACAGTCCAAAAATTCTAGAAAGCAAACACTAATAAACAAAATTTAGCTTCACAATGAGAAATGAAAATACTTAAAACCCATTAAAAGTTTTCACTCAACATGAAATGGGTTCTGGTAAAAACTTAACTACTGTGGCCCAGGACTGATGGGAACTGATTCGGTTAAGTTCTTACTAGAATAATATCAAGCTCGTTCTATATCTGTGAATCTCCCTAAAGCTATACATAGATATATATGTATAGAGAGAGAAGCTGATCACTTGATAACTTATACTAGGAAAAAGAGAATCAACCTGTGGATATGAAGATTTCTCAATCCTGCGCGTAATTGGGGTTTTTTATCTGTATCGCCAGTCGCGACCACGTGAAGAGATGGTTTTCCGGGGGAAATAACGGGTTTTCACTGGCATTTACCGGGTTTAAAATCACATGTACTGGACTGAGTAACGAGGTTTGAGAATGGAATGATGCTTATTATTTGATATGTACTAATAAAAAATAGGGAGAATAACATTTAGAATTCGTGAGGTTTATCGCTTCCTCGTTTAGGTCTCTTCGTAGTTAAAATATTACGTACAAATCTTAAAAATTTATTATGCATAACACTTAAACCCAATTATAAATATATCTGTGAATAAATTATATTTAAACCTTTTTAAAATTTATAAGTATGTAATATTTAGACCTCTTAAATTTAAAATATTATACTTAGACAAAAAATATTACAATCAAATATTATAATTCAACAAGTTTGTATAAATTTATCAAAGATGTTAGGTTTTTTTATGAGTATAACTTATTTAGGAAAATTTATAGCATCCTTTGTATATAAACCTCTTTATTCATCTTTACAAAATTTGAACTTAATTAATTCATTTGATTCAATTTTTTCTTAAAAATTTATAATTAATATACAATTATACTATCTATTATAACAAAACTAAACAAATCAAAAAAATAATCTAAGTCATTTGATAATAGAACATGAATTTTACAATCAAAATTTATGTTCTATTATGTCATTTATTAAAATAAAATCAAAAATAAAAATCTATTTTAAAAAAAAAAATCATAGTTAGTATATAATTATACTATCTATTAGAATAAAATTAAAAAAATCAAATAAGGGGTCAAACTGTAATGGACATAACATCTTTTAGCTTTCATTTGGGTAGTTTGATATTTTAATTTAATTGTTTAAATGAAAACAATATAATTACATACTAACTACAATATTTTAAGAAAAAGTTGAATTTTTATTTTTTATTTTAATTCAATAAATGGCACAATAGAATATGAATTTTAATTGTAAAATTTAAAATATTTTATATTCTATATTTAATTGAAGTATTTTTGGTTTAAGTATGACATTTTAAATTTAAGGGGTTTAAGTAATATATGTTAACAAACTTAGAGGGTCTGGATGTAATTTATTATCAGATATATTTACAACAAGGGTCTAAGTGTTACGTGCGTACAAATCTCATAGAGTTTGTATGCAATATTTTAAATGTCAAGAGGTCTGATTGATCAAGTAATAAATCTCAAAACACTTAGGTGTTATTCTCCCTAAAAATAAATTTTCTTTGATGCCTAATTTTACCTGTGTAGGGTTGATCATTTTTGAATAATTGTTGATATTTTTCATTTCTAATTACTATCGTTTTCATCGTCATCATTGCTACTTCTGCTACCACCTCCACCTAAGGTCTAGGTTTGGTCGGGTTAGGTCTAGCGGCATGGGGTTAGGGTCAAGTCTAAGGTTCAGTGTAGGGTCAGGTGTGGTCCGAGCAGATCTGAGCCTAAGTTCGGGTCAGGTCCGACATCTGAGTCGAGTGATTCTATATAAAAATATTACTATGTACCAAACGCAGAAATTAAACAACAATACAAAAATAAAAATAAAATAAAATTAATAATCTAGCTCACTATATGATTATTTCTTGGTTTCGACATGTAAATTAATGCAATCTCGTTAATAGAATAAGTGACATGTATATATGATATTTCGCTCATGCAAATTTGGAACATTATTTCAAAATATTGATATTGTACCCCCTCAATGTCATAAAATAACTTTTATAATTGTTTCCGTTAAGTTCTCTTGTGTCACATGTAACAAGATTTGACGAAAATATTAATAGAAGTTAAGAAGAGAAAAACCTTAAAATACAATGTAAAAAAATTATCTTTGAACTTTAACCAACTCAAGATCAATGCTATATGAAACCAAAGCAAAGCTGTACGTGGAAGTGAACACTCAACTCAAAAGCTTAAGTTATCCGAAGATGCNACGTGGAAGTGAACACTCAACTCAAAAGCTTAAGTTATCCGAAGCTTAAGACTGATATAGTTTTGAGGAATCCCTGGAGTGCGGGCCCATTTGGTCTGCGCCCTACATCAATCTTGGTATCTTCAATGAGGAATCCTCATAACTGATAGAGTTGTGACTCACCGAATCTTACTTTGATACCCCTTAGCATGACCTCTCAACCTAAAAGTTTTAAGTTACTAGGCAGAGAATCATGCAACATCTTTTAAACCCATTATGACACCTACTACTTAATCGATGTGAGTGTAACTCAAACAAAGTGTTATTAAATGTGCATGGTAAGAAGCATAGTTTTTAGGTGTGTTTATGCATACGTATGTATTTGGTACGTTTTGTTTGTTTTTAATGGTTGGATGGGGATGGGGATGGGGATGGGTAAGGGTGTTTAAATTTTTGATTAACCGTAATTTTTTATCTTATCCGACCCTACCCTACTCTACTAAACAGTTAACTGCAAAAATCGAATAGAAATGCGAAGAGATTTCGGTCTTCCGATTAAATCGAATAAGAATGTGGAATACCTATCAATTTCTGTATTTCTACCCTATCCTACTCGCAAAAAATATATTTAACAGTTAAGATTTGCTGATATTTGATTAACGCTAGTTTTGAAAATAATCTTTACTACACATAGTTAGGAATTTGTAATCCCTTCATTCAAGGGAATTTGTTGAGATTTTATTTTCTTTCCTTGCTGATCAGATCATGACTTGATCTGTATTTGTGTATATATTGTAGTCTTTTAACATGGAAAAATATTGGAGAGAAATATACAACTTTCTCAATTCCTATTTTGTCATGGTCTCAAAGCAATGATTCCATTGCTTTTGTAAAATTCCGCATACTCTAACTAGAGATGTCTACGCCAACGATTGATCCAGCAGATCCTCTATTTCTTCACCCTTCTGATCATCCTGGACTGATCCTCCTTCTGAAGGTCTTAGATGGAATCAATTATGCTATGTGGAAACGATCAATGCTGATCAGCCTTAGTGCCAAAAACAAATTGGGATTCATCAAAGGAACCATTACCACTCCAGAAGAAAAAGATCCCACATACTCTTTATGGCAGCGTTGCAATGCTATGGTACTCTCTTGGATATTCAATTCTCTAAGTCAAGACCTTATACACAGTGTTCTCTATGCTGAAACTCCCTCAGAAATTTGGATAGATCTTCAAGACCGATTCTCTCAAGGTGATTTTTCTCATCATTATCAAACTCAACGATCCATTGTTGAACTGAAACAAAATCAAGAATCCATTTTTTCTTACTATACAAAGATGAAAATGTTGTGGGATGAGCTAACCACCTGTAGCCCCTCAATCACCTGCACGTGTGGAGGTAAAAAAGATCTAAAAGAAAAAGAAGAAAGAATTCGCCTTGGTCAATTTCTTATGGGACTCAATGAGACATATTCTGCTGTACGAGGACAGATTATGCTCATGCATCCTTTACCAACTGTCAAAAAGGCATATTCACTTTTATGTGAAGAAGAAAAGCAGCGAGGCCTCACTGAAACAAAGAGCAGTGATCTTATTCATGCCATGAGTATTCACACTTATGACAACTCCAAGGAGTCACAAACTATGCCCTCAAGACAACGACAACAATGGTCCTCCACTCATTCCAAGCCTCAAGGCAATCGAAAACCTCTTCATTGCTCTTATTGTGAAGGCACTACTCACACTGTGGATCGATGTTATTTTCTCAATGGGTTCCCAGTTGGTCACAAACTACATGGCAAAGAAGTTCAGCCACCCAATCGTAGCAGAAAAACTACTGCTCACCAAGCCAGTGCAACCATCATTTCAGATTCACACAAGTCCTCCATCGATCCTACTCCTCAATTCACCTNAACTCCCTCAGAAATTTGGACAGATCTTCAAGACCGATTCTCTCAAGGTGATTTTTCTCATCATTATCAAACTCAACGATCCATTGTTGAACTGAAACAAAATCAAGAAACCATTTTTTCTTACTATACAAAGATGAAAATGTTGTGGGATGAGCTAACCACCTGCAGCCCCTCAATCACCTGCATGTGTGGAGGTCAAAAATATCTAAAAGAAAAAGAAGAAAGAATTCACCTTGTTCAATTTCTTACAGGACTCAATGAGACATATTCTGCTGTACGAGGACAGATTATGCTCATGCATCCTTTACCAACTGTCAAAAAGGCATATTCACTTTTATGTGAAGAAGAAAAGCAGCGAGGCCTCACTGAAACAAAGAGCAGTGATCTTATTCATGCCATGAGTATTCACACTTATGACAACTCCAAGGAGTCACAAACTATGCCCTCAAGACAACGACAACAATGGTCCTCCACTCATTCCAAGCCTCAAGGCAATCGAAAACCTCTTCATTGCTCTTATTGTGAAGGCACTACTCACACTGTGGATCGATGTTATTTTCTCAATGGGTTCCCAGTTGGTCACAAACTACATGGCAAAGAAGTTCAGCCACCCAATCGTAGCAGAAAAACTACTGCTCACCAAGCCAGTGCAACCATCATTTCAGATTCACACAAGTCCTCCATCGATCCTACTCCTCAATTCACCTCTCAAGAACTTGCTCAAATCAAAGCCTTTTTCAATGGTAAACAATCTACTCAAGCAAACTCTACTGGTATTTCTGCCCCTTTCTGTTCTTCATTTACTGCACAAAAGACAACCTTGAATCACTGGATCATTCACAGTGGCACCACTAATCACATAGCTACATCTGTTTCAATCATCTCTCCTCTCTCTTCTCAAGTAACCTTACCCAATGGTGCTTGCTCTGCCATAACTGGCATAGGTTCCACCCAACTTTCAGCCCACATGCATGTTAAAAACATACTCTGTGCTCCATCTTTCCATGTCAATTTACTGTCAGTCAGTCAACTCACAGCTACCTTAAATTGTTCTATTCATTTTTTCCCTACTTTTTGTGTACTGCAGGACCTAACTTCGAAGAAGATGATTGGTTTGGGGAAGCAACTTAATGGCTTGTACTACTTCGTGCCATCAATAAAATCTGCATCATCTACTACACCGATCACTTATCATGTTGCTTCCACTCCAAAAATTCCATGGCACCAGCGGTTGGGACATCCCTCCAAGGCACCTTCACAGTTTCTGAGTCATGTTATACCTTC